TAAGAAAGTAGTTACACAAACTGTGTTGTATCGTTAGTTTTCATGGAGTTAAGCGTGTAGTTTCACAAACAATGTTGTATCATTATTTTTCATGAACATAAGCATGTAGAGTTCAAACAGTTTGGTATCGTGAGTTGTCATGAAATTAAGCATGTAGTTTCTCACACAGTGTTGTATCGTTAGTTTTCATGAAATTAAGCATGTAGTTTCTTACACAGTGTTGTATGTGTATTTTTAATGAAGTTAAGCAAGTAGTTACACAAACAATGTTGTATCGTTAATTTTCATGAACATAAGCATGTAGAGTCTCTAACAGTTTGGTATCGTTAGTTTTGACCAAGTTAAGCATGTTGTTTCTCAAAAAGTATTGTATCGATATTTTTCATGAAGTTAAGCAAGCAGATTCTCAAACAGTGTTGTATCGTTAGTTTTCCTGAAGTTTAGCTTGTAGTTTCTCAACAGTTTTTTATTATGAATTTTCATGAAGGTAAGCGTGTAGTTTCACAAACAATTTTGTATCGTTAGTTTTCATGAACATAAGCATGTAGAGTCTCAACCAGTTTGGTATCGTTAGTTTTCATCAATTTAAGCAATTTGTTTCTGAAACACTATTGTATCGATAGTGTGTATGAAGATAAGCAAGTAGTTTCACAACCAGTGTTATATCGTAAGGTTTCATGAAATTAAGCAAGTAATTACAGTGTTTTATCGTTAGTTTTCATGGAGTTAAGCGCGCAGTTTTACAAAAAATGTAGTATCGTTAGTTTTCATGAACATAAGCATGTAGAGTCTCAAACTGTTTTGTATCCTTAGTTTTCATCAAGTTAAGCAAGTTGTTTCTCAAACACAATTGTATCGATAGTGTTCATGAATTTAAGCAATTATTTTCACAATCAGTGTTATATCGTTAGTTTTCATGAAGTTAAGCAAGAAGTTACTCAAACAGTGTTGTATCGTTAGTTTTCATGGAGTTAAGCGGGCAGTTTCACAAAAAATGTAGTATCATTAGTTTTCATGAACATAAGCATGTAGAGTCTCAAACAGTTTGGTATCATAAGTTTTCATGAAATTAAGCATGTAGTTTCTCACGCAGTGTTGTATGTGTATTTTTAATGAAGTTAAGCAAGTAGCTACACAAACAATGTTGTATCGTTAATTTTCATGAACATAAGCATGTAGAGTCTCAAACAGTTTGGTATGGTAAGTTGTCATGAAATTAAGCATGTAGTTTCTCACACAGTGTTGTATGTGTATTTTTAATGAAGTTAAGCAAGTAGCTACACTAACAATGTTGTTTCGTTAATTTTCATGAACATAAGCATTTAGAGTCTCAAAGAGTTTGTTATCGTTAATTTTGACCAAGTTAAACATGTTGTTTCTCAAAAAGTATTGTATCGATATTTTTCATGAAGTTTAGCAAGCAGATTCTCAAACAGTGTTGTATCGTTAGTTTTCATGAAGTTTAGCTTTTAGTTTCTCACACAGTGTTGTATTGTGAATTTTCATGAAGTTAAGCGTGTAGTTTCACAAACAATGTTGTATCGTTAGATTTCATGAACATAAGCATTTAGAGTCTCAAACAGTTTGGTATCGTTAGTTTTCATCAAGTTAAGCATGTTGTTTCACATACAGTATTGTATCGATTGTTTTCATGAAGTTAAGCAAGTAGTTTCACAACCAGTGTTATATCATTAGTTTTCATGAAATTAAGCATGTAGTTTCTCACACAGTGTTGTATTCGTAGTTTTCATGAAGTTAAGCAAGTAGTTACACAAACAGTGTTGTATCGTTAGTTTTCATGGAGTTAAGCGTGTAGTTTCACAAACAATGTTGTATCGTTTGTTTTCATGAACATAAGCATGTAGAGTCTCAAACAGTTTGGAATCGTTAGTTTTCATCACGTTAAGCATGTTGCTTCTCAAACAGTATTGTATCGATAGTTTTCATGAAGTTAAGCAAGTAGTTTCACAACCAGTTTTGTATTGTGAATTTTCATGAAGTTAAGCGTGTAGTTTCACAAACAATGTTGTATCGTTAGTTTTCATGAACATAAGCATGTAGAGTCTCAAACAGTTTGGTATCGTTAGTTTTCATCAAGTTAAGCATGTTGTTTCTCAAACAGTATTGTATCGATAGTTTTCCTGAAGTTAAGCAAGTATTTTCAGCACCAGTGTTATATCGTAAGGTTTCATGAAATTAAGCAAGTAGTTACACAAACAGTGTTGTATCGTTAGTTTTCATGGAGTTAAGCGTGTAGTTTCACAAACAATGTTGTATCGCTTGTTTTCATGAACATAAGCATGTAGAGTCTCAAACAGTTTGGAATCGTTAGTTTTCATCACGTTAAGCATGTTGCTTCTCAAACAGTATTGTATCGATAGTTTTCATGAAGTTAAGCAAGTAGTTTCACAACCAGTTTTGTATTGTGAATTTTCATGAAGTTAAGCGTGTAGTTTCACAAACAATGTTGTATCGTTAGTTTTCATGAACATAAGCATGTAGAGTCTCAAACAGTTTGGTATCGTTAGTTTCATCAAGTTGAGCATGTTGTTTCTTAAACAGTATTGTATCGATAGTTTTCCTGAAGTTAAGCAAGTATTTTCAGCACCAGTGTTATATCGTAAGGTTTCATGAAATTAAGCAAGTAGTTACACAAACAGTGTTGTATCGTTAGTTTTCATGGAGTTAAGCGTGTAGTTTCACAAACAATGTTGTATCATTAGTTTTCATGAACATAAGCATGTAGAGTCTCAAACAGATTGGTATCGTTAGTTTTCTTCAAGTTAAGCATGTTGTTTCACAAACAGTATTGTATCGATACTTTTCATGAAGTTAAGCAAGTAGTTTCACAACCAGTGTTATATCATTAGTTTTCATGAAGTTAAGCAGGTAGATACACAAACAGTTATGTATCATTAGTTTTCATGGAGTTAAGCGCGTAGTTTCACAATTTCCGCACCTCCTCCGAGCGATGCCTGCGCCTTGGCCCCGAAGCCTCCAGGCCCGTTGCTGCCGCCTCCATCCCGGCCTTGGCCAAGCTGGGGTGTGTGTGTGTGGTGGCCGGGCCGGCTTGGGTGGGGTCTCGGCCGCTGTGCGTGAGCCTGTCCCGCCAGCGGGGCCGGGGCCTCCTCGCAAGGAGGTGTCGGGGAGGAGGGAGACGGGGGTGTGTCTCTCGTCCGCGGGCGCCGAGACCGCCTCGCCGATTCTCCTCGCGCCGTGGCGCCGCGGTGCGTGTGGGAAGAGGCGGGGAGGGCCGGCGTCTCACTTTTTTCCCCACCCCCTCTCCGCTCTTTCTCCCAAAGAGCCGGGGTAGACCAGTACTCCCGAGGGGGGGGGCCTCCTTCTTTCCCTCCCGTCGGGGTAGCGGGTCGACCAGATGTCCCGACCCGACCTCCCCCGGTTTTTGGGAAGTGTCCCGAGGGCGGGTCGACCAGATGTCCGGTTGGACTTTTTTTTTTTAATATATAAAGGTTGACCAGTTCTCTTATTTTTTGTTTTTATTTTTCCTCCCCTCCCCAAATGTTTGGGGGTCGACCAGTTTTCTGAATGAATAGGGGCGACCAGTTGTCCTAATGAGGTTTTTTTTTTTAAGTATTATAAAATTCCACATCGAGGTCGACCAGTTGTCCCTATTTTTGGTACGTCCATCCATGGGCTTATTCATTACCTGCTCCTTCATTGGTCGAATTATTTATTTATTTATCTATTTAAATTGTTTATTATCTGAGTTTTTTCTTTTTTCTGTGTGTGTGACAGAGATCATCTACTTATTTTATTTACCTTCCTACCTACCTGTTAATTATTTACTTTTTATTATTTGTGTTGTGTGTGTGCATGTACACTTCTATACCAGCAGATGGTGGTAGATCCTCTGTTTCTCTATGTATCTACTTATTCACCCATTTATCTGTGCACCCTTTACTTGTTTCATTAACAAATTAATTAATTATTCATTTATTTATTTATTTATTTATTTGTGAGTCCGCATGTACACTTCTATATTATAAAAGTCAACATCGAGGTCGACAAAGCGAAGTAAGTACTTACCTGTATGTGTATCTATGGACTTATTTGTTACCTCCTCCTTCATTGAGCGGAGTATTTATTTATTTATTTATTTACTTATTTATTTATTATTTATCTATCCATTTATCTATTTAATTTGTTTATTATCTGAGTTTTTTTCTTTTTCTGTGTGTGTGTGTGAGAGAGAGAGAGAGAGCATCCACTTATTTTATTTACCTACCTGTTAATTATTTTTTATTATTTGTATGTGTGCATGTACACTTCTATACCAGCAGATGGCGGTAGATCCTCTCTGTTTCTCTGTCTATCCATGTATGTACCTATTCACCCATTTATCTGTGCATCCTTTACTTATTTCATTTACAAATTAATTGTTCATCCATTTATTTATTTATTTATTTGTGAGTCCACACGTACACTTCTATACCAGCAGAGCGCATTAGATCTGTCTCTCTCTCTCTCTCTCTCTCTCTCTCTCTCTCTCTCTCTCTCTGTATCTACTTATTCGTTTATTTTATCTGTGCATCCTTATTTCATTAACTAATTATTTATTTACTTAATAGTCCTGTTTGTCTATACATTTATTTACCTCCCTACCTACTTGTTATTTATTTATTTGTGTGTGTGTGTGTGTGAGAGAGAGAGAGAGAGAGAGAGAGAGCGTGTATGCGCATGTACACCTCTATATCAGCAGAGGGCAGTAGATCCTAGGACATTGATTTGAAGTCAGGACAGGACTTTCTCTCTGTCCTTCCTTATTATTATTATTATTCTTTATTTTTTTGCTTTTATCATTTGCTCATTTGTTAGAGACAGGTTCCCTCCAACACTAACACCGTGGGTTTGTTGTTGCTGCTGATTGTTTGTTTTTAAGTGGATTTTTAATATTTGGGATTTCAGATCGATTTTCTTAATTTGGGGTTGTTTCCTGGGATATGATTGATCAGATCTGCCTGCCTGTCTGCATCTGTCTGTCTGTCAGTCTGTCTGTCTGTCTGTCTGGTGTTGGTGGGTCGTCAGTCCGTCCGTTTGCAATATGTATGTCTTCATTGTTTTTGTTTCTCTCTCTCTAGCCCTGGAAACATCTTTCTGAGAAGAACGCGCTGGCCTCCAACTCACTCCTGCTGTGCACACACAGAAATCACTGGTGAGCTGCTGCTGCTGCTACTACTACTACTACTACTACTACTACTAGAAAGCAAGCACCATTTTATTGTTCCCTAAAACTACTCACATTAACCAATTTCTTTTCTTGTGTTTAATCAGAGATCCACCTGCCTGTCTGTCTGTGACATGCAAAAGAAGAAGAAGAAGAAACTTCATCACCCCAACATAAAAAGGAAGACTCCTGCTTCACTCACTCAGGTGATACAGGTCCTGAGCGGCTGTGTGGAGACTGCCATGATCTGAGGATCCATTCTCCCAGGAGCATTTCATTGAGAAAATATAGTTGCACCTAGGATTAAACGGGAGACGAGGGGAATACGAACTCTGGGTGGGTGGGTCTTATGACAGGCACCAGCCATCAATAGGCTGTTGTTTGTTTTGATTTTTGAAAAAAAATTTTTTTGAGACTCGATTTTGACCAAGATGGCCCCTCTGGCTCACTGATAAAGTGAGCTGAGCACTGGGATTAAAGGCGTGCACCAACACTTCCAGGCCAGACCAGTCATATGTTAATGTGAAGGCCATTGAGTTCCTTCCAAGAGAATGAGTGGAGGAGGCCCTCCCTTACACAAAATGCCTGACCTGTCTGGGGGAAGCAGGTGCTTAATGACACTGCCATCTCTGCCCTACTAGCTCCCCTACTAGTATTCCTGTTCTTGGTGTTCCTTCCTTAGGAGGGCACAGTGGAATTCCTGTTCCCCTGGTTTCGGGGATTTTATTTTTCCCATAAAGAATCATTTTGTTTAGAGAGCCCTCATTGGCTGTAAACAAGTGAATAAATGGATGGACCGATAAATGAATGAATGGATGAATAAATAAATAAATAAATAAATAAATGAATGAAACTTTCCATTGTCTATTGACTTTTAATTTCATTGGAGCTCCCTCAAATCCCCGCCCACACCCCTCCGTGTCCCCAGCCACCAGTCCCTGCCTGACTGCCTGCCAACAAACAAACAAAATAAAAAAAACTCAACCTAATACACTGGGCCACAGACATTGAAAAGAACTCAGGGGTGGCTGTATCATGACACAAAGAGAATATTAAGGGGGGGGGGAAATGAAACAGATCATCTCAGAGGCCTGGTCAATTTTTCTTTTTTTCTGGATTTCTCTGTAGCTTTGGAGGCTATCGTGGATCTAGAGCAGACTGCCCCTGCCTTCCAAGTGATGGTATTAAAGGTGTGAGCCACAACCGCCCAGCACACAAATGCTTGTGGTTTGTTGCTTTGTGAATGTTTTCAGACAGGGTTTCCGTGTGTAACAGTTCTGGCTGTGCTGGAACTCACTTTGAGGACCAGGCTGACCTCCAACTCACAGACAGAGATCCACCTGCCTCTGGTCTAATTTTAAAAGGAGAGATCAATTTTGGGTTCAGCGGGTGTGTGGGATCAGTGGGAATACGTGTTATTAAACTGGTGCTGCCATCCTGTTTTATCCTCCTGGAGTTTGCACATGGTTGCTTCCACCTTGGTGAACCAGCCACACCTTCCTTATCCAGAAGAATTTGAACACACACGGTGGTAGAAAGAAACACATGAACAGAATTTTAAATTAAACTGAATTTATAAGATAAGGAAACCAGTTACACACACACACACACACACACACACACACACACACGCAGAAGCAGGGAGCTGCTGGGAGCCTGTGAGATGGTACACTGGTGTTCTAGGGGAGGGCTCCTGAGTCCAATCCACTATGATGGTGCCTTTGGTACATCATCAAGGATGAGAGCACAATGAACACACATGCCTGTCACCACCCAAGCACACATGTCTGCTGCCTGCCTGCCTGCCTGCCTGCCTGCCTGCCTGCCTGCCTGCCCACCTACCCGCCTGCCCACCCATCCGTCTGGCTGTGAAGGAACCCTGCAAGAGAGTGCCCGATGCCTTAGGAAGTCAGAAGAAAGGGGTGGGTCTGCTGAATTTAGAGTCATGGAATGGCTGCCAGCTGCGTGTTGGCTACCATGTGGATGGTGGAACATGAACCCACAAAAACGAGAGACACGGCAGACAGGAGGACCTGGAAATACACTATATTCCATGTTATGTCTGAGGTGCCTCCTACTTACCTGAAACCAAAACAAATCCTTCCAAACATCAAGCTGTCTGTCTGTCCCCTCCCTCCCTCCCTCCCTCCCTCCATCCCTCCCTCCCGACAGAATTGGAAAGGGAGACCTCCTGAATAAATTGGGAGTACAGGGGGGGCAGGATAGTTGAGGGAAAAGTGGAGGATGGGGGGAAGAGAACATGCACAGGATCAGGAAGGATGAAGTAGGGCATGAACAGAGAAGGAGACCAAGGATACCTTAATAGAGGGAGCCATTGTGGGTTTAAGGAAAAATCTGGCATTAGGGAATTCCCCAGGGATCCACAAGTAAGATGAACCCCAACAAGCAAAACAAAACAAAACAAACAAACAACAAACAAACAAACAAACAAACAAAACCACCTAGCAGCAGCTTTTAGGTGTTGCAGAATCCTCAGGGACAGACACTCACTTAGACAAAACTTTAAAAATTTTAAATTTAAAAAATTTAAATGTGGCCTGGAGAAAAGGGACCTGTTCATCTGCTGCTGAACTGCATGTCATGTGCCACTCTAGTGCTACTGACCATAGAACTTTCATCACCAAGGCATGTTAGATTTCTGCTTTTTTGATATTTCAGCTTTGATGATGTTATGAAATGTCATCTGGTTGGTTTGTGTTTGATTTTTTTACTTTTAATTTTTTAATTTTATTTGAGCTCTTAGATATTTTTAAGGAGGGCAATGAGTGTTGTAATAAATTTCCTCATAGGAATGATTTCACTGTGTGCTAGGGTTTGTGTAGTGATTTAATTTTCTTGAGGGAATCTCTCTCTCTCTCTCTCTCTCTCTCTCTGTCTCTGTCTGTCTGTCTGTCTCTCTCTCTCTCTGTCTCTCTCTCTCTGTCTCTCTCTCTCTCTGTCTCTCTCTGTCTCTCTCTCTGTCCTCTCTCTGTCACACACACACACACACACACATCCATTAATTCTAGTTTTGTTTTCTCTCATTCCTCACACACTGATGAATGAGTTATTTTATCTCCACTACCATGGGCTCTGGTGTACCCACATACCAGGGAGGGCGAGGCCCTCCTTGGGAGGGATCTCTAAATTCTGTCATTTCATTCAGGGCAGGTCCTAGGCCCATCCCCTTGTGTCCAGCCTGAGGCAGCATCCCTCTATTTGGAACAGGCTCCCAAAGCTCATTCATAAACCATGGTAAAGACTGATCTACTACCCAAGGCCCCAGTGGTTTCTGTGGCCTCCTCCCTGAAACTGCATCCATGGAGTCTGGATCCGTCCCCTGTTGGCCTCTCATCCATCAGTCTGGGATTCAAGAGCTGTCTTTGTGGGTTTCATCATCATGGTCTTGACCGCTCTACTCACCGCTCCTCCATCTCTGTCACTAGGTTCCAGGAGTTCAGTTCAGTGTTTAGCTGTGGGTATCTGTCTCTCTGTCTCTGTTTCTGGATGAAGGTTCTAGGATGGCATATAAGGTAGTCATCGACCTTATCATCAGGGAAGGGCTATTAATGTAGTCTATTATGGTATCTGTCGTCCTGCTCTCCTCTATTCTTAGCCTCGACTGTACCTGCCAGATAGGTCCACCATAACTTCTTCTCCCCCTCTCTTTTTTTCTGGATCACTCTCCCTTCCCCCGATGTTCCCAATCTGCTCAGGAGATCTCACCTCATTCCACTTCTCTGGGGTATAATGCATAGCTCTTGGAAACCTCCCTGTTTCGCAGACTCAAAGGCACTGGAGTTGTATGCTGACACTCCCCTGATCCATATCTCAAATCCATATATGAGTGAGTACATACCATGTTTGTCTTTTTTGATACTGGGTTTCCTCACTCGGGATGGTTTCTTCTAGTGCCATCCATTGTGTAAATGTACCACATTTTCTCTATCCACTCTTCAGTTGTGGGGCATCTAGGTTGCTTTAGGATCTGAGCTCTTAGAAATTTTTTTAAGGCAGGGTTTCTCTGTGGTTTTGGAGGCTGTCCCAGAAATAACTCTTGTTAGATACACCTGCCTCCGCCTCCCGAGTGCTGGAAGTAAAGGTGTGCACCACCAATAATCTCTTAGATTATTTTTAAAGGTGGGCACTAGAGGTGTAAATTTCCTCATATGACTGATTTTACTGTGTGCCAGGAGTAGTAGTTGCAGAGTGCTTTCTATTCACTCTCTCTCTCTCTCTCTCTCTGTCTCTCTGTCTCTGTCTCTGTCTCTGTCTCTGTCTCTGTCTCTGCTCTCTCTCTCTCTCTCATTTGGCCTGGCACACGGAAAGTATTCCTGGACAGTAAGACTTTTCTACACATTGAGAAACACTGTCTCAAATAAAATATAAAAGTGACCTGGCCTGAAGCCCAGGCAGGCAGAGCTTACTCCTTCCCTCATAATTCAGATTCCCAGCACTGTTTTTGTTTATGTGTTTGGTTGCAAGTAGATTATAGTGTGTTTATGACTTTGTATTTAATTATATAGTTTTTCTTGTTGTTTTGTGTTTTGGTTTTGGTTTTCGGAGAGAGAGACAGGGTCTACTTGTATCATCCTGGCTGTCCTGTTACTACATAAACCAGGATGGTCTCTAACTCTGAGAGACCAGCAGGCCTCTGCCTCCCAAGTGTTGGGATGAAAAGCACCCACCTCTCAGAAAATTTAAACTTCTCTCTCTCTCTCTCTCTCTCTCTCTCTCTCTCCTCTTTCTTCCTTCCTTCCTTTCTTCTACCTTGTATGTTTGTTTGTTTGGTTGGTTAGCCCTGCTAGTTCCTGGCATTATAGTTGATGATGTTTGTTATCATCCTTCAGTGCTGGTTGAACTGTGGACAGACAGATGCAGGGATGGGACTTGCACACAGACACAGACATAGCACACACACACACACACACACAGACACAACATGCACACATGCACAGCTACGGGGAGCACTGTAATGTGCAAGGTGCTGTCAGTCAGTATGGAAATGAGTGACTAGTTGATACCTTTTAAGACTGTACCGTTGTGAGTGGGATTCGATTGGCAAAGAGAGGCTTGGGAGCTGGGGTGTGGTTTTGAGATTGGGCGTTGAGGAATGTATCTCGGACCTTGAGGCTCCAGTCATATGTTAATGGAAGCTCCACAGGTGACCTTGAGTGTCCTGTAGCTCACTTGGTTTTGAGTATCTTGTTCTGGTATAAGTACAGGGACAAATGTCCCAAAAGTGAGTGCCTTCTTGTAGTCTTATAAAGAGACCTCTGGCTTCTCTCTTTATTAACACAAATCAGAACTATAAAAATGTTTATCTGAAGCCATAATTTTCAGCAGGGAGGGCGGTGGTGGTACACGCCTTTAATCCCAGCAGTTGGGAGGCAGAGGCAGGCGGATCTCTGTGAGTTCCAGACCCAGCCTCCTGGTCTACAAGATCTAGTACCAGGACAGCCTCCAAAGCCACAGAGAGACACTGTCTCAAAAAACAAAACAAAACAAAACAAAACAAAAAAAGCAAATAAACATACATACAAAAAAGCAAAAAGTAACAAAACAAAACACCTTTTCATATTGAGTGCATAATTGAATTTGAGGCCCCCTTGCAAATCACAACTTGCATTATGGCAGTTGGAAGAAAGGCTTTAAAGGAAAACTAACACATAGATTTGGCAAAAGCACAACAGACATGATTCTAGTCTGATATGATAACCTACTAGGAAGTTTTAAATTAAAAGTGCTTAAGCTAATAACAGTCTTCCTTTTGCAAATCAGTGCATCTCCTCTGTGTGAGGACAAATCAAAGGAAGTCCTCGCTTGTACATGTGGGATATTGTTG